CTCAAACTCCATCTTTCTCCCTAAAACTCAAACTCTATCTCTCTCTCTAAAACTCTATCTCTCTCTCTAAAACCCAAACTCCATCTCTCTTTCTCTAAACCACCATCTCTCTCTCACACATAAGAAGGTGTGCTCGTGTTCGAGCTCAAGCTAAATCCCTTAGCTAGTAAACTCACCGAGAAGCGAAGAGAGAGTGATGGAGTTTTAGAGAGAGAGGTGGAGTTTGAATAGGGTATCATTTTAGTATTTGTTTGGGTAAAAAATTTATGGTCAAAAGGGTCCAGGGGGTTATAAGATAGAAAAGATGGAGATCTTTTGCTTACAAGTAATATTTTCAATTTTTGAGGCTCATGAGATATGAAAGTTAAAAATAAGGGATAATGAGATATTTTCCCTTTGTAATTAACAGTGGAGACAAATTTTAGGTCTTGTAAGAGTTTCGGGCATCCGAACTACACCTTTGAACTGGTGGGTGTCTTATATAAATTGCAACCTTAAATTTTTTTTGGAAAAACTACAACCTTAAATTCTCTTACAATTTAAAACAAGAGTAATTATCCTATGAGACCCTCCCAAAAGATCACCATTAAAGTTGGCATACATATCTAGAAAAGACAAGTTCCATACCCATGTGATAACTTTGCTAGATATTTGTGCCAAATTTAATGGTGATCCTTTGAGGTCCTACACACATAGGTGTGGGAGGGTCTCATAGGATCATTACTCTTGGAACAATTAAAAGTATTTGACTATTCTTAATGGACACCTTATTTACAACATATGCAGTATATGATAAAATATTTTAAATTTTAAATCTTAGATATTCTTTGTAAATCTTAGATATTCTTTGTTTTAAAAATAGTGAAATACCAATTTAAAATAAGAGATTTATTTTAAGGAGTTTTAATATGTCTCCTATGGGTAGGGCCCTATCCCCACATAGCCAAAAAAAAAAAAAAACCTATTACTTGCAATCGATTTCATGTACTTTTGACTAATCTATGTCGCCTTAAAATATTTTGGTATTTAATAATTCTTACAGAAGTTTTCTATTCATACAATATATTTTAAGATTTTAAATTGTGAACATTATATATTTTAAAAATAATACTGCCAATTAACAATATATTTAAAATTTTAGAAAAGACGTGAGATGAGAATTCTACTCTCCCAACAATTTTGAGATAAATAATATAGAAATAATTAGAGCTAAATATAGGGATAAATTTAAGGGATATTTTGTCTTAGAGAGAGAGAAAATGGAATGTGAGAAAAAAGATGATAGAAATATTTAGAATGTACTGTTGGAAAATCTGAAGACAAAAGGAGTTCATCAAATTTCATATCTAATGGTCAAGATTAATTATGACCACCTTATACCAAGGCAAATGGTCTCATAGTATATTTTTCTTTTGAAACTAACACTCTATTTATTCTCCCTCCGGCCTCTACACGAGTATTGGGGAGTTTTCTCCGGGTTTCGTCTAAAATAAATGACATTTTTGTTTTTATTGAATTTTTAGTAGTTTAAAAGTAATTCTAAATTTTTACTAAATTATGTTGATTAACTTTATTTCTTGTATTCCAACTAATTTCTAAACTTGCTCAT